ACCAGGCTAAGTTTTGCTCACAGAATAGAAGCTAATGAAGGCAGAAACCTGTCTGTCTTGTTCACTGCTACTCACCAAGTGCCTGGCACATAGTAGGTGCTTAGTGTATGCTTCAAAACTAAATGGACAACTGATCTCATTCCAGCCTCACAACTACTCCATGAAGTAGGTATGATTGTTAGTTAAAGGTATAGATTGGGACACAGCTCCAGCAAAATAAAATGACATAAGGGAGGTCAGGTTAGTAAGCACCTGGACCCTGAGGGCAGATGTTCTGGGTTTGAATCTTCACTTCTCCACTTAATAGGTACCTTTTACTTAAGTTTTCCAGTCTTTAGTTTATTCATTATAAAATAAGGATACTAATGGAAACCCCCTTGAAAGGCTGTTATAAGAAATACTTGAGGGGACACATGTAGAATACAGCACACAGTAGGTGCGCAGAGAAGCATGAGCTATGGCTCAGCCTCACAGGGAGATGAGGTCAAGAACTCCGGAGTGTTTGGATCTGCTCCAGGGCTCCTGTCTTCATCACTGTCTTCTCCTGCTCCCTCCTGTTCACAAATGAGGCCCTCTTTCATGGAGCCTAAGTTCTGCTTTTTTTTTTTTTTTATCTGTGCAAGTTTTTCTTGACAAGGATTATGTGGAAACTGCTGGCTTGTTGCAGGCAGGAGGAGAAAAGAAGCCTTCTCTTGAGTCTAACTTCAGTCTTGATCAGCCCCTTTAAGTTCCCCCTCCAGTTAGGGTAGACTTAACTGAGAACTCTCTGCTATAGGGACAGGGTGTGGCCAAACTTTGGGGCCACCAACCTCTCTGTCATCCAGTTGGCCCTCTGGCTATCAGAGTAAGCTTCTGAGACATAAGCCATGATTCATACTAGCTCCTCTTCCTCCTAACTGGGCTAGCTACTTAAGTCATTTCACCTCTCTGAGCCTCAGTTTTCCCTTCTGAAAAATGGTGATAATGATGGCACCTACCTCAAAGAATTTTGTGAATCAAATGAGGGAAAAAAAAAACTGTGTAAAGTATGTGATTGTGCCTGTCATGTAGTGGTATTTACCATTCCCTTTATTCATCAGCCAACTCAACTGGGTGAGCTCCTACTCATCCTTCAAAGCCCAACTTATATGTTCCTTTATTTGTAAAGTCCTCTCAGACACCAAGATCTCTTAGACATTGTCTGGTCCTTCCTCTGTGGTCCTATTACATATTATACTTGTTTCTATCACCTCCAAGGCTGATATTGAAAATATTCAACAACTGGTTGAGTGTGAGTACTGCCCCATCTGAAAATAACCAGGCTTGGCACTGAAGGGCTGCCAGGTACCAATGTTTAGCTGCTGGTCTGTGAGAAGGTCCAGGAGGTACCAGAGGAGGGAAGGGATGGCTTTGTTGACTGGAGAGTGGGTGGCGACAGGGTCTATTTGTCAACTGGTTTGCAAGTATTCAAATACTGACTCAGTCTCAGTCCTAATGACAATATTTATCCTACAGTACTTCAGTATTCTGTGGATGACTAGAGCGTGAGCTCTGGGATTCAGAAGCCTGCTTATTCATCTGTCTCTCTAATGCCTTGAACAGAGATGACTGAGTGTAGATAAGAAATGAATAAGGCCACAAAGGACTGACTCCTTGGGACCCTCCATTTGGATCTGGGCTCTGACCAAGCAAGAGGACTTCTAGTTATCATCAGCTTATTTATTATTTGCATATTCTCATATGTAAATAGGCCCCCTTGATGTCATGTGCCCATCCTTGATTCTTTAAAGAGCCGTGCATGTGAGATGCCTGCCATGAGTTGTGGCAGGAACCATGCATGGCATAGGACATCTCTTGTGCTCCAGCTCCTGTTCACCTCCAGAACCCCATTTCCTGTGCTGGAATTCCGTCTCCATCCTGACTCCAGCATTCAATTCCTGTTTCCATCGTCCAGTTTCTCAGTTGTCATCTCCTCTGCCCTAACCTAACTTGAACCCCAATCCCCTCCTCCCCTGCCTCCTTACCCCCATCCCATCTCAGTATTCATTGTTGTGTATTTTCCATTACAGTTTTGTCTGTCTTCTTTATAAGAAGGCATAGGCTATTTCTTATTCACTGGATTCTGAGGGCTACATCAGAACTGATGCTTTATAGATGCTTAGTAGATAATTGGTAGATTTGAACGAGTGGTCAAACAAGTGACTCAGTGACTGTGACTTTGCTGTTCTCTTTAGCAGAGAGTTTGGGAAAATCTTGGACTCTCAGAAAACCTTTGGCCCAACCTGGTATCCTCTCCACCTGTGCCTGTGCAGGAGACAGGATGAGAAAGAACCGTGTGGAGGGCATAGCGAGGGCCAGACTTGAGGGGTGTCTGATGCCCCCAGGAGTCAGGCAGCCATGAGCAGGGTGGGGCCAGCCATTTGGATTGCAGCTGCCGTCAAGGATGGGAGGAAACTGAAAGCAGGGGAAGCAGGGCTTCTAGCTGAGGTCTCAACTCCTCCACAAACTGACCTGGGCCTGGAAGCATTCCTACTACTCCATTACTATTATCAGTGCCGCTACTATTGTTGCTGCTATTATCACCACTTCCATTGTTAATACTGCTGTTACTTCTATCCCCCGCCGCAACAGAGGACCTACCACTCACCTGCTACAGTCTACAAGGCTTACAGTGAGTTGTCGCATCCTTATAATATCCCTCTTACGAGGTAGGTCTTACTATTATCCTCAATCTGCAGACTTGGGAAAGACGGAGGCATGGAGAGCTTATGTAACTTGCTCAAGGTTCCACAGTTGTAAAATACAGAGCCAGCATCTCGAATGTTGTCACCCTGACACTATCTACTATTTGCTTGGCACAGGGGTGCCAAGTGCCAGGCTCAGCTGCTTACAAAATTATTTTGCTTTTGTCCCCTGAACAAGGTTTTTGAAGAAGAGGTTTATTATCTGCATTTTCTGAAGGATGAGGAAACTGCAGCTGACAAAATTTTAAATATTATAACTACCCCTGACTTGGGACCAGGGTTTGATCACAAAATCATAATCTCATGTTTTTAATAACTCTGACTTGCTGGAGCCCCTGGAAGGCATTTCTCAAAGATTCTCTTTTTGGAATCAGGGCACTGGGTTTGGTGGGCTCTTAAGGCCTATGCCTTCTAGGTATGGATGAGTTTTTGCTCTTCTAATAGGGGCTGGGCCCTAAGAACCAATGACCAATCTGGTAACTCACTCACTGGTGTGGGAGGACAATAGTTTTGGGGGGATGGGGGCAGTTAACATTCAATTTTTTGCAACATCTTGGACCTGATGGTTTGGAAACTGTCCCAGGTGAGAGAATACAAGCCATTTGCACCCAGTGGTATTTTTACAGAGTGTCAGTTGGGGCCACCGAATGGCTGCCATAAATACTGTGACCAAAGAGGTTGGGTGGCTTTCACTAACTTAAAACCATTCTTCCACCTCTTATTGCTTGTATTTAAAATTTTCTTCTACCTTTGCAACAATTCCTTTGGGACACAGGTGTGATAATCATGCTTATTTTCCAGTTGAGGAAGCTGAGGCTGGGAGGAGTAAAAGGATTTGTCTGGCCAAGCCAAGTCTTGAGCCCAGGCCTCTGAACTCTGCCTTACTGGGAAGAACTTTCATAGGCATTCGTGGAGGGAAGAATGAACATGAACATTTACCATCTGCAAATACTGAGCAACTGTAGGTTCCCTCCTTCTACAAAAGAAGGGCCTGGGCTGAGCTGTGGACAGTTCCAGCAAGGCAGAAGATTACGGCAGAATTATACCTTGTTGATACAGATGTCTTGACTGGTAAAGAAGAGATTCCCAGAATGCATTATGGATATAACTATTGTGTCAACCAGATCCAACCAATGTTTATCATCACCTTCTCTTCCTTGACCTCCCAGCAAGAACCTCAGAGCTTTTCCTTACTTCCAGCTCATCCTTTCTAAGGGAGCAGCTCTCTGAAATTTTCACATCCATGCCACACCTAGCTAGAGGAGACAGGACCCTTCCCAGTTGTCAGGTGTAAGTGAAGGCTACGTCTATGTTGAGTCTCCTCCTGTTTGTTTGTCTGTCCCTTTAGAGTCTACAAAAGGCCTTCATATACTTTCTGTTACTGGGTATCCCCCACAATCCCCACATGGAAGTGGTATTATTTCAAATTTGCCAATGAGAAAACTGAGTTTCAAAGAGGTTAGATGACTTTCTCCAAGCTACACAGCTAGGAAGCTGAGTTCAGACCCAACTCCAAAGGCTTTGCTCAGGAGACTTCCTGGCATCAAACTGTCTGAAGTTGACCCTCCTTGCTGACCAAAGGGACTGTTGCATGATCCCATTTAAGGCCAGTTTTTCGAATGTATTCACTCTTGCTTTGCCCTATGGCTTTACTCCATACCTTCATCTTTCTGAGCCTTGGCTTTTTGGTCCCACCTGTGGAAGCAACTAGTGAAGACAGCTGAGTCCTCAACTCCCTGAGACCTTGTGTGAATATGAGAGGTTAAGTTCTATCACCTCCTTGGAGGAAAATTCTCATATATATTCAAGGCCAAGTTAATACGGGTGACATCAAATCCCATCTGCTCATCAGTGCTGCAGCCTAGCTGTCAAAGACGCAGACCTCACTGCAAAGCTGCAGTGCCTCTGTTACATCAAAGACCCCTCTTCTTCTTCCCCAAAGAAACCTCCTACAATGTCTCACACATGCCCTGCTGCAGATGTCACTCTGGAGACCAAAATGTATTTTCACCATTCCCCTGATAAAGAGCCTCAGTGTTTCAGGTTTTCCCCATTCCCCCCACCCCACACACACCCCAACTTGCCAAGTCTCCAAGCTGAGTGCTGCCAAAGGCTGGTGAATGACCATTCAGTTAAATCAAGAAGGAGGTCTGAAACCAGTGGGATATTTGCCCGAAACTGAATTAAAATGTGTCATACACTGCTCTGAACTTGTGCCTCCACCTCCCCCAAGTGTCCCGGCCAAGACTGGCAGAGGAGGCTGTGCGGAATACTTACTACACCCCTGGCTGACAGGAAGCTGAGCATCTGGAGGGGCTGGCTGGGTTGGGGGCTGGACCGGGCCTCTGGACTGGCCTTGCAGAGGGTCTTGGAGCAGCGGCGAGAGTGCCTTCGACGGGACTTCTGCCCTCCCTCGGGGGACCGGCCACGGTGCCTAGATGCAGGGCAGAGAGATCTGAGGGTTTTTTGATGGGGAGCATGGCAGAGAGGTGACTGAAGGACTAATAGGATCTGAGGACAGCAGAGTGTGTTTAGGTGTGTCTGCGTAAACTATGTATGCATCCCTCTGCCCACCCACCCATCCGTGTTCATTTATTCTCTCATTTGTTTGTTTGACAAATGTGTATTCATGTACCTGGCACTGCTGTGGGGACTGGGGATGCAGCTGTGAAGACAGAAAGGGTCCCAATGATCCTGATTCAGTTTACTGTCCTTTGTGTGCCTGTGATTATCTCTCTGCTTGCCTGTCTGTGTCTGTACGTGACTGTGTGTACGTCTGGGTGTGTCCATCTGTGTTTTCATGTGTTTGTCTATAAATGTAACTGCTTATATCTGTGTGTCTTTGTGTATCTGGCTTCACCATCTGTGAAAAAGAGGCATCTTATTGACTGTCACCCAAAACTTTTGAAAAAAAAATCTGATGAAAACGACAAAAGTGCCTTCTGCAAGCTTGTCAGATGTAGATCTGGCTGCCTGTCTGTGGTGGAAACTAAAGGAATCTCTGACTCCTTAGAAAGGATGTATTTGGACTCGGCATTACTGTTTAGCTCTGAGTCACAGTAGTGATAAAAATAACACCTTATGGATTTTCATGGCATTTGTAAGCCCTTCTTAAGGTGCTTTCACAGTCCTCTCTCCAACTCAAAGACAGACAGGGCAGGTATTATTTCTTATTCCCAAATGAGAGAGCTGAGGCTCAGAGATGTTTAGGAACCTGCCTGACATCACACAGCTTGTAGTGGCAGAACGAGGGCCCTGTGGGAACCAGTGCCTCTGGTTCTCATACTGGAGGGTCCCTCTCTGCCCGAGGGCCTCTCACTTTTCTACTGAGTGGCCCAAGGGCCAGCTCTCAGGTTGCTCCCACACCTGCTGGAGTGTCCCTCAGCGCAACAGGTGCTGGGGAGCTCGGGCGGCAATAGTGGCAGGAGACGTGAGAGCAGGAGGGCTGGGGCGAGGGCCTGTGCTATGTGCCCCTTTCGGAAGAGGTAAGCCTTAGAAAGGGTCAAGTGTGGTCGCTGAGAGTCTGCAAGCGGGATCTGCACCATCCTCCCACCCAGGCTCGGGCTGAGTCACACAGACCTGGGTCCTGGCGCCAGCTCTGCCAGTCGCCCCTCTGCCCACCAACACACAGGCTTCTCAGCTGTAAATGTCAATAATGTGGTCGAACTTAATGTGTCAACACCCTCCGGACAAAGGCCAATGGGGGCACCTTGTGCTCATTGTAGCATCTCGTTACTGCTCCCTGCAGTGATGGAGAACATGCACCATGGGCGAGTGGAGGACATCTCTGTTGGGTGGGGGGTGGTCAGAGAGAATCTATTAGGAGCATGTGGTCGGGGACTCTGGGGAGCTTGTAAAGAGCTGGGGCTTTGATCTGACTGGATGATGTCAGGGAACAGAGGTAATTCTCTGATTGGGTGTCTTCACCAGTCTAACTAGAAGGAGGGGAGACTAGACTGAGGTCAAGGCTATCACTGGTAAAGATGGAGAATGGAGAGATGCAGGGTCACTTTGGGGTTGTGGACAAAGTTTTGTCCAGGCTTGCACCTGCTTCCAAGAGGGTCTTGATTTTGTCTGGATCACTCAGGATCACAGAGCAGCCTTGTGTGATGTGGGAACACCACAGCTACTGGGGAGAGGCCTCGATGTCAGGGGCTGCTTTCACACCTGCTCCACGCTCATCTGGATTAGATCAGAATGTCTAGAGATGGGATCCAGGCACTGGTATTTCTAGACTCCCAAAGCGACCACAGAGCAGCCAAGGCAGAGAAGCTCTGGTCTGGCTCACGGTGTGACGGGGGTGATTAAGAGACAGAATCCATTTGCAATTGCAGCACAGCGCCCAGTTCAGAGTAGAATTTAGATTCCTATTTCTCTTCCTCCTCTTCCTTCCTGGAGACATTCTGACTTAGCTGGGAATGTGGCGGGACCAGGACAGTGAGACTTTTAAATCTTCCTAGGTGAGGTGACTACGTGACTACATAGGCCAAGTGTGAGAAGGACTTAAGAAAGAATAAAGGGGCCTCTGACATCCGGAAACTGGCCTGGTACCATGAAGGGGCCCTTGACATTGCCAATGGTCTCAACAATTTCAAACACCAACATCCACGAAGCCCTACTCCCTCTTTTTTTTGTTCTTCTCATCCACAAGAGCCTCTTCCCCTGCTCAGGCTGGGGCAGCCAATGTGTCAGCATAAAGAGGGTCAATATTAGGAGCAAGAGGGCTTGGAAGGGCCACAGAACAAGATACCTTGTGCCATGTAGCCTTTCATAGGTCGCTTAGCTTCTCTGTGCTTAGAACAACCCCAAGTGAGAGACAGCCAAGTGAACCAGACACCCCAGTTCAGGCCTAGCTCTGTCCCTTAGCAGCTAAGTGCCTGGCAAGTTCCTTAACCTCTCTGTGCCTCAGTTTCCTCATCTCTAAAGTGGGGATGACAATAGTGCCTCCTTCCTAGGGTTGCAGAGGGGATCATGCAGTGGACCATGAAGAGTGCTTAGCACCTGGCCATGGAAGCACTGTTAGCAAGTCCTGTGGCCGCTGTTCCTATAAGTGGAGGCAGCAAGTCCTTCTGCCTGCAGCCCCTCTGCAAGGAAGTGGTGACAGCCCAAGTGTGAGGCAGGAGCTGCCCCTCTGCTGGGAAAGCGGCTTCCCCAACAGTGACTGTGGAGGCAAAGTTGATGGTGATGGTGTCTTAGCTGGGCCCTGGGCTGTGGTCAGGGTGAGGAGATGCCTGGGGGCGGGGGTTACCTGCTGTCGCAGCTTGAGGAGCGGGACTCTGAGCTCTGGGACCGTGAGGGGCAGTGGTGATGGCGGTGGCGGCGAGATTTTCGGGGCCGGCTTCGTGATCTTGAGGGGGTGGGGGATGAGAAGGAGGGAATCAGAGGAGAGAGAGAGAGGTTTTGATCTTGCACTTGAGTAACTCTCCCACGGTCATGCACCCCCCCACTCCCTGCATCACCTTCACTTCCCATCTTTGTAACTGGCCATCCGGAACACAAACGAGCAGAGAGGGGCTCGTCTGGGGAGACAGCCTGATCCCCAGGGCTCTTCTGGAAGCAGAGTGTACATCACCTGCACACATCACCTCTCCCTTGCCTAAGGCAGGAGTCTCCATTTCAGGAGCCAGTCAAACACCACGATGTGTGAATCAGTGGGGCACTCAAAAAATACGAACCAGAGGGCATGGGCTAAAGAAAGTGACTTTGCCTCCAGAAGAGTGCTGTGGTACCTGATCTTCTAACTTTTCAAGTCAATGTAGAAATGGAGATTTTTGTGTAATTTATTCCTATTTTAAATGGAAGCTCATTAAAAAAAAAAAAAGACACTGTTTGGGGCAAACAAAACACAATTACAGAATCCATTAGGCTTTTGTGCTGCCAATCTGTAACTCAGACCAGGAAAATTAAGTCTGGATTCTTAGCATGGAGTCAAAAGCCCACTTTCAGAGTGAGTTACAAATGTCATTATCAACAAGAATTACAGTACGTGTAACTGCCACCACTACCACTTACTTTGGCTCTCTCTAAATAATAATGATGACTTAGAAGTAGCAATAGCAGTGGCAGTGGTCACTGGGGACATACAAGGAATGTCAATAGTTTGGGTCAAGTCAGGAAGCCAAGGGGTGGTTAGAGATGATTCTATTAAAAGGTAACTTGGTTATCCCAACAAAGGACTCGGGTATTCTTACACAGGTATATCTTGTCATGTGACCCCTTCTCTGTTTAAAACCCTTGCACTGTCCTCATGTCAAGTCCAAACTCTGACCTTGAACCCCAGGCAGCTTCAGGAGCCAGCCCCTGCCTAGCTCTCCAGCCTGCTTGCATGGCATCTACAGTCCTGGTTTGCAAGGCTCAAGGGACACCAAGGTGCTGGTATTCTGGCTTACACACTTCCCACATTGTATCATGTCCGGACGATGATGGTCATGGCAGGTAAACTGTAACACATACTGCCTGTCAGGCACTGGGTTCTGAGCATCTTCCTTAAGTGGACTCATTTACTCCTCACAACAATCCACAAAGTGGGTTCTCTTATTATTCACATTTTATAGATGCAGAAACTGAGGTACAGAGATTTAAACCACTTGCCTGACCTGCAGCCTAGAATGGTTATCTCCATCCTTCTCACAGGAAACCTCCTCTCACCACCATGCCCTCTTTCCTGCACCTGGGGTCCCACCATGCCCAGAGCTTCGTCTGCCACTGTGGTGCCAAGACCTGTCCCATGTCTCCCCTGTGTCCTGCTACACTGTGAGTGCTGGAGACTGGGAGGAGCGTCTGCCTAATCTCTGTCCTTGGGCCCCACACAGGGCCCGGCGCCTGTTAGGGCCTCTCTAAGGGACGCTGAACAAGTGGAAGCAAGTTACTCAGTGGTTCCCTGTTTAAACGCAGCCTTAACTAACCATGGGTTTTGGCAAGGACAGCCACCTTTATCTCAGGGGTGCCTCGTGTTTCTTGCTTCTCCCTCTCCTGACTCTTGTTTTTCTGGCTTTCAGAATCTTCTTTTATGTCCTGCTTGTGATTTCTGAGACTTGGTGCTGGGCAAGGTAGCCACTTTGCTGCCCTCAGGCAGGCAGTCCATACCTCAGTGATTTTTTCTTTTTTTTTTTTGATGATTTTCCCAGAACTCCTGGGGTGTGGGCCCAGGCCCTGCTTAGTGACTGTCTAGACTGCAGCCCTTCAGACAAGTGATGCTCATGTCTCTGAGAACAGATGCTCTATCTATGCTTAGGATGAAGCATAGATATGCTTGACACAGATGACCAGTGATTGCCTCTTGACTTGACTTGAACAACCTTGATGATCAGGAAGTTCTTCCCTGAGCTAACTTACAGCTCTGCTGCTTCTTTATGGAGCATTCCCCAGGCCCCCGTGATGGTGCCTGAAATGCCCTCTTTCGCACTGACCTTGGGTGGCCAGCAAAACTGAGCGCCTCCCTCTGTGCCTGCTTCCTCTTTTCCCTCCCCTGCAGCTCACTGACTTTCATCCCATTGCCTTTGATTCTCACTTTAGAAGCTTCTTGGTGGGAGATAAAATATTAGTTGATTGGAAAACACACGCACTAACATTTGCAAGGGTATAAAGTAGGTGGGTTGTAACCAAATTTACTTTTAATTTGGCTGGGAACTGAACTCTGCAGGCAGTGCTGGCTGATTTGAATTTCTACTACTGGCTATAAACCAAGGACCAGCTGGGGACCGAGGCTGGGGGTAGGCGCTCCCCCAGTATCTCCATGCTCTAAGCCCAGGGACCATGGCTGGAACTCACATGTATGCGCACACATGTGATCAAGCCCCCTTACTCACTCGTGCACACACAGCACACTTGTGTATTGGTAACCTCCCAACACACACCCTCCCTAGGAGTAATGCACACAGATAAATAAGCAGCGCACACACCAAGGGCATGGAACTAACACACTGTAACAGACAGAGCACCGATCTGCACGCTGTTTAAGTTCATGCTCACATAAGCAAGGGCATACGTGATGCATTCTTATGAACACAGATATATATCACACATACATACACACTAGGCACCCACATTGCACACAAATGTTTGCACAATAGAAAAATATACAGATATTTACAAAGTGCACACTATGCATATACGTACCAGGTACAAATGTTACACAGTGCACACACAGGCACACAGAACTCACACACAATGGGCACAGACATGTACACCATTCACTTTCATGCACACAGAGACACACGTGCACACACACACAGCAAACACCACCTTACACACCCATGCATGCCAAGCCCACAGCTGCCCGTCTACACACAGTTCTGTTGTTTGGTCTTCCCCTTCCTTTCCCTTCTCGCCCACCTGCCCCCTCTCCCGTTCCTTTTTTCTTTGGCAGTTCTAACCCTCTGGCCGTTCAGAGGTCAGTCCCCACCTCCCCAGATTGACAGTACATTGCAGGTGGAATGTACATACTGTTTTTTGTGCCTCTTCTCTTCCTTTCTTTTGCTTTTTGGGCTGGAGGAGCTGAATGAGAAATGGCCAATTAATGAAAAGATGCAAAATTCCAGCGAATGATAAAAATAAAGTAGTTAAAATGCTTAACACATGGTGGTCACTAGATCCAGGCAGTTTGGGAATGGACATGGATCGTTTCTAAAACCAGAGCAACCAGCCCACACATACAGACTGAGGACAGGGAATAAAGGATGCCGAGATCAGTTTTGGTAGATTAATGGTAACAACAGTAGTAAAGGTAATCATATTTGCAATGTTTTGAGGCTTTATTATGGGGAAGCACTCACTAATACTTTTGTCAACAATCTCATTTCATTCTCCCTACAACCTATGACTTCCCTGGTGGCTCAGATGGTAAAGAATCTGCCTGAAATGGGAGCGACCCAGGTTCGATCCCTGGGTTGGGAAGATTCCCTGGAGAGGGAAATGATAACCCACTCCAGAATTCTTGCCTGGAGAATTCCATGGACAGAGGAGTCTGGTGGGTTATAGTCCATGTGGTCACAACAGTTGGACATGACTAAGTGACTAACATGTATAGACAATCTATGGCATGTTTAATAAGTATTCATTTTACAGAAAGTGGAAACTGAGCCTCAGATTGGCTGAGAAACTTGACCAGGATCTTACTGGTGAGCTGGGATGTGGCCCCAGATGATGGGTCCCTAGCGCCTATCCTCTTGACTACTGTTCTAGTCTTTTCTAAAAGAAAAGACTGGAAAATTCAGAGAGATATTCTAAAGCCTCCTAAAATTTGGCAGATTCTGAAATGTTCTGCTCATGAATATTTAAGTTTTTTTTTTTTTAAGTCAGAGTACTGGGGGGTGGGCAGAATGGACAATGATGACTCAGGGTCTCTGCATCACCAAATAGAGGCCCCAAAGGCAAATTCTATTTGATAATTCAAACCAGACTGGCTTCAGGGGATCACCAGGAACCCATCACTGGCCTAAGTCCTGGGAAGGAGAAATTTGATTTCATCCAACGGAAATCGCATCTTGACGTGAGCTGCGGGATTTATCTCTGTGTCTGGGACTCAGCCTGGGCAGTGGAGATCCCAGGTCCTCACTGAAAGACCAAGTTCACCTCCTGGCTCTGCTGCTGAGTTGCTGTGTGACATCGGGCAGGTTACCTGTCCTCTCAAAGACCCAGTTTCCTTGCCCTTGAAGTGGGGTCATTGCTTAAGCTGTTGGGCTAAGTGGATAGATTACCTTGGTAATCATGTCTACTTGTTAACTGAATGAATGGAAGGATTTTGCACTCTGTCAGTGGCTGCAGTTGTGCTACTGTTATTGAGGAAGCCACTGCAGGCTGTCCTGATCCTCTGTCAGACAGACTTGGGTTGTAGTTTTGGCTCTGCCTCCTCTGACTGTGTGTCTGTGGACATGCCGGCCACATCGCCTGAGTCTTAGTTTCTTCATCTGTAAAATGGAAATAATAAAGATATCCTCTGCACAGGGTTGTGATGGGGATGTATAGAGATCAAATACCCATGCATGTGGACAAGGCTTAGCATAGGATCTAATTTATAGTGAGCACCCCACAGGTTATAGCTTAATTTGTGTTTACCCCATGGTTCCAATACTAGGCCTCTATCCCTTAGTTAGGATCTGGGAAGGCTTTGGTGGGGTGATGCTTCTCTACATTCCCAACCCAAGATTTTTTTTTTCTTTTGGCCATGCTGCACATCTTAGTTCCCTGACTCTCATTGAGCTCACACTGAATTCAGGTATTGAACTCACATTGCCTGCATTGTGGGGGTTTCCCAGGTGGTACAGTGATAAACAATCCACTTCCCAATGCGGGAGATGCAAGAGACGCAGGTTCGATCCCTGGGTCAGGAAGATCCACTGGAGGAGAAAATGGCAGCTCACTCCAGTATTCCCGCCTGGGAAATCCCATGGACAGAGGAGCCTGGTGGGCTACAGTCCATGGGGTCACAAAAGAGTCAGACACAACTAAGCACACATGCACACACTCCTGAATTAGAAGTGTGGAGTCTTAACCGCTGGACCACCAAGGAAAGTTCCCAATCCAGATTTCAACCAATGGTCAAACAGACCCTGGTAAGGGTGGTAAGACTCGCCAGGGAGAAGGATCAGTAGGAACTGGCCTAGCAGCAATCATGTGGCCTGGTGGAAATTGAAAGTTGGCTTGGAACTTTCAGGGAAACCAGATTATGGCCTTCATTTTGGAGGAAACTAAGGCCCAGGAAGATGAAGGGGGAGTGAACACAGAGGTGGAGGCTGAGAGCTGGACCCTAGATGCTACCTAAACTTGGTTAGGAAAGCAGAAAGCCGAGCAAGCAACCAGAGACAACAAGATGCTTACCTGTGCCTTCTCTTCTTGGAGAATGACCTGATTGACGGGGGAAGAAAGGAAGAGAGAGAGAGAGGAAGGAAGGGAGAGAGACAGGGAGGGAGGAAAGATGAGGAAGGAGGAGAGAAGAAAGGAACGGAGGGTGTGCGGGAAGAAAACAAATGTGAGTCTGAGTTTCTTTTCCTGGGATGGTTGTATCAGCATATTTATAACTTTTTTTTTTTTCCTGGGATGTTCCCTCATCAGGGATCAAACCCATGCCCCCTGCAGTGAAAGCACGGAGTCGTAACCATTGGACTGCCAGGGGATTTCCTATCAGTGCACTTGTGGCCAGGCTACAAGGGGACCAGGATATCTGGTGAACCCTCCTCCTCTTTTATATTTGAAGATCATATGAGAAACCCTGGCTTGCATTTTGAATTATCAGTGTTTCAATCCTCACCCAAATTTGTCAGTAAGCCTGTTCTGGAAAAGACTGCATGAGGAGGCCAGGACAGAGAGTCCCTCTGCCTCTTCGCTTCCCCCAAGCCTCACTTTGGTTCTTTCCCTCCCTAGCTGTGGATTCACCATCATCAACATCTTCAAGGGACAACCAGATTCCACATGTGGAACACCTACTGGGGTTCCGGCTCTGTACTAAGCATTGCTCACACACAATCTCATTCAGTCTTCCCCCTCAACCTGTAAAGTACTACTGATAGCCATTTGACAAAGACACTGAAACTCAGAGGAATTAAGTTGCCCAGGACCACACAGCTTCACTGTGTAACGCCAATTCATTCTCAGATGTCACCTCCTGTAGCATTTTCCAGTCCCCTCAGGCTGGTTTGGTGTCCCCCTCTCTGTACCCACAAGCCCTGAGTGAGCTGCCGAGCTGAGCCTCACTATGGCACAGACTTCTTCATAATATGACTACCATTGCCCCACTAGAATGTGAGCAACTTGAGGGCAGGGACTGGGTTCTGGTTACTCTTTTGTTCCTGGGGCCCAGAATCTCCTCATTCATGATATACAATGGGTATTCAATAAATAGGTGTGGAAAAGGGATTTTTTTTTTTAAACCCTGAAACCTTAGTTAATTGAAGGAGAAGAAAAAGTTCAATGCATCCTCTACCTTTAGCTTCCAGTTCCAAAAAGTCAAATATCATTAACCAAACATTTCAAGAACTTGGAGCAAATGGACTAAGATTAGAGTGATGCTCAGCAGACGAGGGTTTGAGAAGAATCAGATCATATTTCCCACTCCTAATTTCCCATTTTATGGTCTTCTTTCCCTCTAAGCTTCTGATAACCTCTGAGCCAACTGTAGCCCCCAGAGAAAGTCTGTTTCTAATCCTCTGGCCAAGTCTCTTTCATATGAGAAGCCCTTGAGTGAGACGCCACTTGGTTGCCCAGATCCATATAGAAAAATGTCCCCTCTCTCCATCCCGCCCCTAAGCTGCGACAAACCGCTCGGCACAGGAAGGTGACAAGCTGGCAGTCTGTGGGCACGGGCAGGCCCTCACCTCAGCAAAGAATTCCACATTGGGAAAGACTTCAAATACCAGGTTAACCAAGGGCTTCCCTTGTGGCTCAGTTGGTAAAGAATCCGCCTGCAATGCGGTAGACCTGGGTTTAATCCCTGGGTTGGGAAGATCCCCTGGAGAAGGGAACGGCTACCCACACCAGTACTCTGGCCTGGAGAATTCCATGGACTGTATAGTCCACGGGGTTGCAAAGAGTCAGACATGACTGAGCGGCTTTCACTTTCACGCCTGTACTGAGCACAAATTCAGACAGGATCAGTGGATATGTTTGGACAGGTGGTGGACATAATCTGTGAGACCAAACTGAGTAGAGACCATTCTGGCAACAAGGGCTGAGAGCTGACCATACCCCTGGATTTGGAAAAGCCACGTGGGGGTGAGATGTGGCAGGGTGGGGAACCCAAATGACCTCTTACCTTTTGTTCTGTTGTGATTGTTTAATTGCACAAGTAATCCACCACTGGTGTAGAAAAGTTGGAAGATACAGATAAGCAAAAATAAAATATAAACCACTCTTTCCTTGTCATCCACAGCCAACCACAGCAAATAGCTTATGAAGATAAACTCTCTGCCCTCCATGGGTCAAATTAGCTTTGTAAATGTGTGTAGATGGGGGAGGCAGGTTAACTGGGGACAGTGTGGCACCCTGGCACTGTCTAAATGCACAGCAACTCCTCAGTTCCAGTGGATGACTGCCTGTGGGAAGATCGATCCAATGAAGAGAGCTTCTGATTTCACAGAAGTGCTGGAAAACTTTTTGTATTGCAAAATGTTGGCCTGGCCCATGAACCACACATTTGAGACCTCTCATGTACAGCGTTCTATCTTTTATTTTTCCCCACAAACGTGTGTGTGTGTGTGTGTGTGTGTGTGTGTGTACATGCACGTGTGTATAGTAAGCACCTTTGGGAATGTGTGTGCATGCTCAGTCACTCAGTCATATCCAACTCTTTTGAGATCCCATGGGCTGTAGCCCACAAGGCTCCTCTGTTCATAGGATTTTCCAGGCAAGAGTACTGGAGTGGGTTGCCAATTCCTTCTTTAGGGGATCTTCCCAACCCAGGAATCAAACCTGAGTCTTCTGTGGCTCCTACATTGGCAGGTGGATTCTTCACCACTGAGCCGCCTGGGAAGCCCTTGGGAATGTGTATTCAGTTCCTAATGCCTCTTAACTACAGTCCACAAGTAGTTGTCTACAGGTATGTCCAAAACATGGACAATCCTGAAGCAATGTTTCACATGATCCCATTCTCTAGGACACAGCTGGATCTATCAGAAAGGCCTCTCCATGGGAATTTAGAATAACAAACAAGAGAGATTCAGTATCTTCTTGTGATCAGGCCTGTGATAGGAAGAGACGGGAACAGGGTACAGGGTCTGTGTGCCCCCGTGTGCACTATGGAATTGGGCTTGGGTTGTGTTAGCTTTGGTTCTAGCTCTTCACTGAAACCTGGCTGGTCTCAGAACAAATCCCCCCGCAGGCCTGAGTTAGTGTTAGTAGGTCTCTGGTCTTTGCAACAGGAGTGCCAAGTTACACAAGTTACAAATACAAGACCATACACACATGAGTATTTTTCATAAATGAAACGATAAGCCTCCAAGTGACGTTTCAGTGCCACCCACTGTTGCCCCCACCCCAACCCCACCCGAGGCATCCCTGTGTGCAGAAGAAGAAGGACAGTACCTGTGTCGCTTATGTTTCTTGGAACTTTTCTTCTTCTTCTTCTTGACAGGTGATGGGCTATAAGATGGGGACCTGCCATGGAGAGAAGACATACTTGAGAGGGGGGCTTTGAGGGCCAGGATCAGTCCTTTCTCCAGTTCCCAGACACAGCCTCAGCTCTTCCAGGAGCACATATCAAGGATGATACTTTGTCTTAAATGTTACTGTGTGTTTTATATGTATTATTTCATTTAATCCCTCTACATACTTCTTAGGTAGGTACAATTGCTACCCTCCTTTTTCAGACAGAGAAAGTGAGATTCAGAGAGGTGAAGTGACTTGCCTAAAGACAGTTGCCTAAATATAGCCAAGAAGTGGATGAGCTGAGATTCAAATTGAAGCCTCTCTGATCCCAGGGGCTTTGTTCTCAATCACTGCATCACCCCGCAGCTGCCCTCCCGGTGGGACCACAGTATTTACTTTTGTCTGCTGCCCTTCCCCAAACTGTGTATGCTTGAAAGGTCTCTCCTCTGCCCCACCCTGTTGTCTCCCTGGTCAGACCACACTTCTGCAGGACATCTTGCCAGGGTCTTCTCAGCATGGGTCCTTGCCACAAGGGGATTACCCGAGAAACAGAGATACCCTAGAATCATGACTATAATTCCAGGCTGAGGCTCAGGTGACTTGAGTTCCAGTCTTGACTCTACCATTAATTCACAAGTCACCTCAGGCATGTCACTGCTTGCTCTAAGTTTCCTATTCTCCCACTGATGAAATACCAAGATTGAAACATATCTGGAGTTGCAAACTCAATGCCAACAGAGACCTGCCTCTCAGACAGCTTAAATGGATGCAGCGGGTTGGGGGGTAGATGGTATGGAGTGGTGGGGCCTGTGATAAGCCAGGGAGCACCTGACCTAGGGGGATGGCTTCTTTTCAGATTAGCTGAAGGTCTCAGGCAGGAATGCAGGCCTGGGCTTCTACAGCACTTGCCTTTTCAATAGTAGCTGTCAGAGAACATATTTTCATTTGAAATCTCCTGGTTTTAAAACAATGGCCATCAATTAAAAAGACAAAAAACAATTTGCAGCTCAAATAAAACATGTCTGCAGGTGGAGATGCAGGGTTGAAAAACAATCTGACTTAGGGAATCAGAGCACCTGTTCCCAGACACACTGAATGAATGAAGGAATGAGTGAATGAAGCCTAATCCCTGTGGCTTCCTTCTTTTTTTTTTTGGCTTCCTTACTTGACTTGTTCTCCTGCCCACCCCTAAAATCAGGAAGCTCAGGCCACTTACCCTAATTCTACCCCTCACCCTAGAATGGCTGGAACTCAGGTCTTCATTCACATTACCCTCTGGGTCCTCTTTGGGCCTCACCACTTAGAACTAGGCTAAAGTAGGGGTGAAGGAAACAGAGCCCCTGAAAACATGGAGTTGGGGCCCAAGGCATCCAGATTCTGCTCTCTGCTGCCCCCTGGAGACTTCGTCAAATACTGCCTCCGAGGTTTTTTAACTTGCCCCTCTAAGGAATGAAGAACTAAAGAGCCTCCTGATGAAAGTGAAAGAGGAGAGTGGAAAAGCTGGCTTAAATCTAAACATTCAGGGAGGCGGGAGAGGGGATCGGGAAGGGGAACACATGTAAATCCATGGCTGATTCATGTCAATGTATGGCAAAAACCACTACAATATTGTAAAGTAATTAGCCTCCAACTAATAAAAATGGGGGGGAAAAAGGGGGAAAAAAAAAACCTCCTCCTACCCCCCGGCAAAAAAAAAAAACCAAAAAAACTAAACATTCAAAAAACTAAGATCATGGCATCTGATCCCATCCCTTCATGGCAAATAGATGGGGAAACAATGGAAACAGTGACAGATTTTATTTTCTTAGGCTCCAAAATCACTGCAGATGGTGACTGCAGCCATGAAATTAAAAGATGCTTGCTCCTTGGAAGAAAAATGGTGACCAACCTAGACAGCATATTAAAAAGCAGAGACATTACTTTGCTGACAAAGGTCCATCTAGTCAATACTGTGGTTTTCGCAGTAGTCATGTATGGATGTGAGGGTTGCACCATAAAGAAAGCTGAGTGCCGAAGAATTGATGCTTTTGAACTGTGGTGTTGGAGAAGACTCTTGAGAGTCCCTTGGACTGCAAGGAGATCAAACCAGTCAATCCTAAAGGAAATCAGTCCTGCATACTCATTGGAAGGACTAATGCTGAAGCTGAAACTCCAATACTTTGGGCACCTGATGCAAAAACTGACTCATTGGAAAACACCCTGATGCTGGGAAAGACTGAAGGTGGAAGGAGAAGGGGACAACAGAGGATGAGATGGTTGGATGGCATCAGCGACTTGATGGACATGAGTTTGAGCAAGCTCCAGGAGTTGATGATGGACAGGGAAGCCTGGCATGCTGTAGTCCATGGGGTTGCAAAGAGTCAGACACGACTGAGCAACTGGACTGAGGTCATGTAAGAAACATCTCTCTGACCACGCCTTGGGGCCTGGAACACAACCTGCTTTTAGTGTAGGGATTTAAAACAGAGAAGAAAGCCTGAAAACAATTTTAAATGCAAAAAAACTGAAAGAATTGTGTATAGAAAAAAATTCATATGGTACAAAAGAGTCAATAGCTGGAAAAAATATAAAGTCCATTATCCTTGGCATTTTTGTAGTGGCAGAAGCAATTGAGGAGCCTAGAATCAAGTGTCTGTAGGTTCTGTCACCTCCTCTCTGAGCCTTTATTTTCTCATCTCTAAAATGGGGATAATAACTATAAGATAAAGCAGTCATGATGACTAGAGTCAATACTGTGTATTTGAAAGTTGCTAAAAGATTAGATCTTAAGATTTCTCATCACAAGAAAAACAACTGTAACTATGTGAGATCAAAGTGCCTGGCATGGCACTTACATAAAGTGAGTTCTCCAAAAATACATAAAGAAGTAAATACTAATGGTCACAATCATGCTTCATATTAACTATCATTTACTATGTGCCAGATACTGTGACAGCTGCTTCCACGTCAACTTTCTTGTCTAATACTCACAAAACCCCAAGAAGTAAGTATTTCTACCATTTTATAGAAATGGAAACAGGCTCAGAGAGGTGAAGTGACTTGCCCAAGGTCACACAGCAAGTTAAGAGGCAAAGAGGGGATCTGAATCCCAGAGGAGTCACTGCCTAACTCAAGAACCCTTTTGTCCCTTCCCCCATCTTCAGGGTTTCATGGCCCCTTGGATCCCTCACCTCCTTCTCTTCTTCCGGGTAGCTTTCTTCTTTTTTTTCTTCCCCCTGGAGGAAGGTAGAGGCGTCAAGTCTTTGCTGCGGGAGGCACTGGGGAGAACACAGAACAAGGCATTAGAGGACCCAGGGTTCCCCGAGCCGTCAACTGGTGCTGTTGTAGCTGAGAGACGATCCAGTTCCTTGGAGGGTGAAGGACCCACAGTGAATACCTAATCACCACCTCATGGCTGATTTGGTTGCACTTCAGGTTAAACGCCGCAAATAAGGAGCCAACGCTGACCTAATGAGACAGATGCTCTACGTTACCCAAACACCAATTGATTCTTTAAAACAGAATTATAGAGGTTAACTTCTCCTTAATAGATTTATTATTGAATTTGCAAATGGCTCACCTTGGTAAATAAATCAGTTTTTAAATAATTAATCGGCAGTTCAGCACCCTCCCTCCCCAATACATTATGTCTGTAGTTCCTGTTGGAAATTAAATGGGAGGCAAAAGGTAGGTTAAGTAGCAGCTGATTATTAAAAGTATATTTGCCAAGGTCTAATGTAACGAGATACATATCTCATATCGCTTCACAGAACCTCAAAAACCTCCACTCCTCAGGAATAATTATTTCCTGTTCAATTAAATTCAAATGCTCAGGCTGCAGTTAAATGAAGTCAAGTTATCTTCTTTTATAATTGGGGCAGGCTCCAGGGATTTTTTTTTTAAAGCAGTATCCATCCCACAGCAAAAAGATATGGTTTTGGATGAAAAACTGCTTGGGAATTGAAACAGGCCAACTCCACTGAACCTCACTGGGAAAAGAGAATATTAATAAGACTATTATTGTCATTATTAGTAGTCACAGCTACTGTATATTCACTTGCTATGCACCAAATGTTTTATATACTTTGATACTAACAAAAGCACTTTGAGGGTGTTATGATTTTTACTGTCTCATTCTACAGGCAAAGAAAATCAGGCTCAGAAAGCTGAACTGCCTTGCTCAAGGGTGCACAGTTAGGAAGTGTCTGAGCTGGGATATGAATTGAGGCCTGTGTGATTACTATCCTGAGAGCTTTCCCACAAAACCAGCTGCTTTCTCAAACTTGTTTGTGTGGTTGATCTTTTGGAAGTTACTTAACTCTTTATAAAACATCAAAAAATGCTGCCATAATTAATTCCATTCTAAGAATCTGGTATTTATAGTTAATAGGAAAAAAAAATGATATAAGTAATTAGAATACATGTTAACATCTCTGCATTAACAGTCAACAAAAATCATATAGCTATATCTTCAAGAGACTCACTCTTAGCAGGTTAAAAATAAAAATCATAGGGGGTAAATATTTAACTACTTAGATACCTGTTCATTAGCCTCGGGCATCTACGAATCCTCTGAAATGGTACACAGAATTAGGAGGGTGTTCTTAGCACTCATAGCTTCCAACTAATTCTCAGCTGGATTTTGATTTGATTTAAGGATCTCAAAGAGGAACTTGCAAGAGACAGAGGGGAAGAGTGGTCATAGAAATAAACTTCATTTTTCCATCCTCAACTTGAACTTCCGCGTTAGATCAGAGAGAGGGATGGGGGCAGAATCTCACCTGCGTGCTGTGGCAGGACTGGGCTCCCGGCAGGCTTTGCCTCTGTCCCAGCTGTTGGTGCCCAAGACCTTGGAGGCCAAATGCTGGCTCAGCTTTTCCGAGGGTCCATCCTGAGCTGGGACCATGGGGCTGCTCTGGGGTTCTGTCCTATAGAGGAAGAAAGGAGGAGGTGAAAGCATTAGGATATGACAGAGATTCTTAATGTTCATCAAGCATGCACAGATGTCTGACTTCCCCCGGAGTTAAGTTGGGGTCATAAATATCATCAGGGGTCAATGGTCTCCAAGTGGGGGAGATAGATACTGTTTCCAGTATCTATCTGAGGCAGTCAGATCTGTGTGCCACCCATCTCCAGCTCCCTCTCTCCCTCTGTCACAGTGACTTTCAAGGCCACACCTTCCAAACAGCGAAGCTACTGGATGGAGGAGAGATGCCTGGATCACATCAGACTTTGCATGACAGAAATAAGCCTTAGTTAGGTTAAGCCACTGAGGTTTAGGGGCTTATTTGTTACTGCTTAGGCTATCCTGGGGCTTCCCTGGGGGCTCAGAGGTTAAAGTGTCTGCCTCCAATGAGGGACACCCAGGTTTGATCTCTGGGTTGGGAAGATCCCCTGAAGAAGGAAATGGCAACCCACTCCAGTATTCTTGCCTGGAGAAAATCCATGGTCGGAAGAGCCTGGTAGGCTACAGTCCACAGGGTTGCAAAGAGTCAGACACAACTGAGCGACTTCACTTACACTTTTCACTTTCAGGCTATCTCGACTTAATCACAGGGAGGGGCTGGGAATCAACATTTTACTACCTTCCTCAAGACTTAATCAGAGGCCAAAAGCAAGACAGGATTAGTTCAAATTCTCTTTTGCCATTTCTATCCCATTTTTCTATCTTATCTGTGTGTGGCACAGAGATACCTTAATTCAAACACTATCTTCACCATTTAGTAACTATAGAACCTTGGATCAGTTGCTCAACCTCTCTGAGTTGCAATTTACTCAGTTATAAAATAGAGGATAATATCAGTCCATATATCATTGAGTTGTTGTGAAGATAAGATAATATAAGCAAACATGAAAGGCCTAAAATATGTCATTTCCATTTTCCTTTACTTCTCTGTGAACCAAGCCTCCTATCTGGTGTCCTCAGCAGGTGTGAGCTCACCCACTTGGGATAGCAGTTCCAATGAAGGCCCGAAGTCCTCCCCTCTGCCTCTGAGATGAGGTCCAAACTGCACAGGAAGGTGATCTGTGTCCCACCTCCTTCTCTGAGTCCCAGAGAAAGAAAATAAACTGCCTAGTTACTCAGTCTCTGAAGGGCTGTCACTCAAATCTCTTGGCTCCTAACCAGGAAGAGTCAGGAGTCTGAGAGCCACAGGTGGATCTAGCAACATCCAGCAAGCACGACTGCCGCCCTCCCTGCCTGCCTGCCCTGCCTGCAGATCCCAGGTCAAGCACTGATCAAAGGTATTAGCATCTCTCCTGCATCGAGCTTCTGCAGCCATTGCATCAAGATTGGTTTTATGACTCAGGATAAATGTATCTGATAAGCCCCCCTGCTCCTTGGGGCTGCCAGGAGTGCAGGCCAAGCCTGGTCAATATTGAAGGGAGGGCAGCAAAACACATCCATCTCTGTCAGCCGCTTATCAGTGTATCTTTAGAAGCAGAGCTGGGAGATGCTCCAAGCCCAGGAAAGATGGAGATTCTAGTGGGGTCTACCCAGCCCTTCTCACTGTCAATTCCATGCTTCCAGAACTCCACTTTTCTGTATACTTCCCTGCCCCTCTTCCCCCATGATGAGGGTTCCATTTCCACATCTTTGTTCCCTCTGGTCTATCTGTGTGGAATGCTGTCCTGGCTCTTTTCAGACAACTCAAAGCTTGGAATTTCTGCCCAGTCTCTAGCAAGGTTTGCCTCTTGCCATTCTCGTCCCAGCTGAGGCTAACCTAAAATTCATTGACTCTGATTCCCTGAGTGCCTGCAGTGTCTCCAGGCCAGTTTTAAGTGTGGGGATGTAGTGAACAAGACACAGGTGTTCCCAGGATTGTGGAGTCTGGATTATACATGGAAAAGAAGGTAATAAATGCACAAGCAAGTAATAATATGGCTTATTCATCAGTAATAAGTTATAGAGAGAATAAATCAGTGTAAAGGGCCTAGAAAAGTGAGAGGGGTGACTGTTATTTCATATTGGGTAATCATGGAGGGAACTTCCCTGGTGACTCATTGGTAGAGTCTGCTTGCCAAAGCAGGAGATGTGGGTTCAACCCCTGGTTTGGGAAGATCCCCTGGCATAGGAAATGGCAACCTGCTCTAGTATTCTTGCCTGGGAAATCCCATGGACAGAGGAACCTGGCAGGCTACAGTCCAACAGGTCACGGAAGATTGGGACATGACTTAACAACTAAACAGCAACAGCAAAATAATCACGGAGGGCCTTTCTTAGGAAGTAACGAGGGTGGAGACTTGAATGACCAGGGACCAACCTTGCAGTTTGTGTTGTCTTTAAAATGTGTTCACAAATTTTAGACATTCATACCATCAATTAGGGAGCCTAATCTCCCTCCCCTAGGATACTGAATGGGCTAGTGACTCAAGTTGAATGAACAGAATGAAGTAAAAGTGATGATGTGTGACTTTCAAGACTAGGTCATGAAGGTAACTTCGGCCTCTTCCTCTTGGATTGATCACTTTGAGGGAAGTTGGCCGCCATGTAGTGAGGACACTCAGCAGCCCTGTGGAGACATCCACGTGACAAAGAACCGAGACTTGCTGCCAACAGCCAGCACAATCAGCCATGTGAGTGAATCACCTTGGAAGTGAGTCTTCCAGCCCTGTCAAGCCATCAGATGAGACAGCAGCCATGGCTAATATCTGAGAGGTAGTGACCCAGTCACCCAGCCAAACTTCTAACTCAAGGAAACTGCAAAACTTAACTGTTAATTGTTGTTCTAAGGCACAAAAATTTGGGGTATTTTGTTGCTCAGTAATATGTAACTTCTACACAGGTATCTGTAAGCAGTATGTTCCAGGCAGAAGGAATATCAAGTTCAAAGACACTTGGCATACACAAGAAACAGCAAGCAGGGGTAAGAGGAGAGATCAGAGATGAGGTCTTTATAGGCCATGGGAAAAATTTTGGGTCCCCTGTGGCTGAGATGGGTGATGTTCAGAAGGGCCACTCCCTGAGCTCAGGACACTCAAAGGAAGGTAGGGAAGGACAGAGACAGAGAGACCACTGCAATAGACCAGGCCCAGAGAAGCGTGGCAGCGATGGAGGTGATGAGATGTGATTAGATTCTGCCATGTTTTGAAAGCAGAACTAGCATCCTTGGCTGCTGGTTAAATGTGGGATAAACAATCAGCAATATTTGTTCAGTGAATAAATGAAAGGGCAAAGGCATTGACTAAAGAGAACATTCATCTGTTTCAAAAAATTATAAAGAGCTTTTTGAGATGCCTTGAGCTAATCCCTTCATGGTAACAGTTGGTGGAAATAACCCAGCCAATACCTCTGTCTACTCAGATGGCTCAATCAACGCCTTTTCTTTTATTCCTCATATTTCCCTTAGAAAAATGATCAGTGTGCTTATCAATGGATGTGTATTTCCCAAGAGAGTCTTGAGTTGGACACACATAGAAGAATGGAATTTGGGGCTTTCTAGAGCATTATAGGAAACCAAGACACAAATATGTGCCTGAGGCAGCCTTGTCCTAGGCAGAAACTGAGCGTTGATGTGAGGAGTTTGGCAGTGAATGACAAATAGTGCTGGCATTGGGGGAAGGTATCACTGACTTGTGCTAATAGAGGCATGGGTTATCTCCAGTGTGGGGAAAGCTGGTGGATGCTATTGCCAGGCACTGGGGGACAAGGCTAAGGGTGGGGACAATGCCTCATCCATCGATACCAGCAGCATGGTTCAGAATTAGGGATAGGGAATCCCTGACAATGGTTTGATAAGTAGAGGTAAAATGGAGTTGCTGCAGTTTATAACTTGACACTCCCTGATGTGGTAGTACTTTTTTTTTTCCAATAGCATTGGTCTCCCATTCCTGGTGTTGGGTACTTCACATGGGATTACAAAACAAAGAAGAATAGAATTAATTCTATCAGGTTGACAGGGAGTGGTGGGGGAAAGAAGAAAGGATTCCTTCCTCATATAATATTAAAGATTTTTTTCAATGTGTTCTAGCACTTTGCCTCTTAGCTTTTTTAAAACTGAAGGAGACTCAGGGAGCATGTAGTCCAGGCTTTGCTAAACTTGGCACAGTTTCAGAGGCCCCCAAGGAGCTTTTGAAAATACAGATTCCTAGGTCCCATCATAGCCATAATAAATCAGACTGTCCAAGGATGAAATGTGGGGACCTGTATCTTAAAGAAACATCCCAGGTAATTCTGCCTTCTACTGGGTCAACACATCCAAAGTGATCACTGGGATTAAAAAGCTCTGACTGATCTGGCCTCTCTCCTACTCTAGACACCATTTTCTATCCCCCCACCTCTCCCTTACTCTGCTCCGGCCACGTGGCCTTCTTGCTACTCTTCATATGGAACAGGTCCCTTAACCAGGGCCTTTGCTCTTTCTGTTCCCTCCACCTGGTATGCTGTTCTTCCAGCTCCTTCCTTTCGCTCAAATGTCACCTCCTCAGGGAAGCCCTCCCTGGCTGCTTTAAGCAATCATGCTCTTCTTGTCACCTGCCTCCATCACAGTCTTGTTGTACCTTCCCTCCTCCAGAGTACTCATTACTATGAAGATCTGAAATGACCATTTTCCATGTTTATTTGCTAACTGTCTTCTGGACTAGAATGTGAGCTTCCTGAGAGTGGCAACTAGTCTCTTTTCTCACCACTGGGTCCCTAAGGATCTAGTGCATGGCATAGCATGCCTTCCTGCTCAAGAAACATTTGTTGAATGAAGGAAGGAAGGAATTTACAAATAAATTCTGATGACCGATCTCATGTGAGAACCATAGATCAGATGCAACTTCTCCTTGCATATAAATTAGCAGAGGTCCAGGAAGAAGGACCTGTCTGAGGCCACACAGCACTTCAGAGTACTCAGACCTCAGCCATGGCACCCCCACCCCCTTAGCCCCACCCATCTTCCTTCCTTGCTTCCAGCTTTGCATCCTTGCAGGGCTTTAAGAAAAA